TTATCTATCATATGTTGTTGATCATTGTGGAATACTCGAAATATTACAGTACCCTCATTAGCTAATAGATGATAATAAAGAGTAACATTTATCTAATACAAAAACTTGAATTTTTTAATAAAAATAGGTCGCTAGTGAATGTTCATATACTGATTCACATTATGAAGCTCTTGTTGGTATACAACAAAAACTTAATCGAGGTAATCGAAATGTCTTTCAAGTACTTGCATTTCCAAGTAATCAATTTGGTAATCAAGAACCTCATGTAAATATTTTAAAAATAAATTATTCGATTTATTCTATTTTGCTTTATTTATTAAGAGTGATAGACATATTCGTGTATGGGCCAAAGATATGTTTGATATCAATTTTCCTATATTTGCTAAGGGTGCTGTTATAAAAGAAGGAATTGAGAATGAAGATGAATTACCAGATGTATGGAGATTTTTAAGTGGTAAATATCATTATATATATATTTTATTTATTTAAACAAAAAACAACGTTTTATTTAGAAAAAACTGAACCACCATCGTGGAATTTTTGGAAATATTTAATAGATCCAAATGGTAATGTTATTCAAGCTTATTCGCCTCAAATAAATATGCGTCAGGTTTATCCAGATATTAAAAAATTACTTGTTAAATACAATTTAATTGATAAATCCGAATTATAATAAAACAATACTATGAATTCATGTTTATTGATATCAATAGATTAGATTAAAATATAAGATATCGAGTGTTACATTTATTCTTCCGGTTGTTGTTATTCTCCTCACGTCTCTTTTTTTATTCTAGTCGCTTTATGTTATTCATGCATGCGCGTGTGTGTGTGAACTTTTCTTTTTTTTTATGCTCAACGATGTTCATGTTTGCTACTATTTAAATGACATTATTATTATGAAAATTTTTTTTCTGAGAATAAAATGAATAAATATCAAAATAGGATTTATTTTCTTGTTACATAGTTCAATATGATCAAACAAACTCTGGTTATTTGTTATTCTATCATTATAATTGATCGATAATATATGAAGATAAAGAATTATTCTAGAGATACTCACTTTAATAATACTCAAGATTTATATTTAGTTTAATGTTACTTTCTTTAGATTAACAAGTTATTTTTTTCGAGTTGTATCTTTTCTTTGCTACTTGATGTCTTCGAATCCTACGAGTCATTTTATTACCTTACCGAATCGTCCAATTGTTCAGACAAATGGTCAAACTACTCAAGGTCCACTAGAACTACACTATTGGGAATGGAAAGGCCATCAACCGACAATACTCTTCTGTCATGCTGCTTCATTTCATGGTCGATGTTATGATCGTATTATAAACGAAGCATTACACGGTTATCATGTGATTTCTTTAGACTTTCGTGGTCACGGTCAATCACAAAAACATCCACCTCCATATCGTTTTCGATGGCTCGGTGAAGATATTTTACATTTGATAGAAGTATTAAATCTTCCAAAAAATAATCTTATTGGTATTGGTCATTCAATGGGTGGATATGCCTTAACTAATGCTGCAGCAATAGCACCAACAAAATTATTTCGATCTCTACTTCTATGTGATCCTGGTATAGTTGTTCAATCATTATATGGTGTTGGTGATAAAAAATTGGAGTCAGTGGAATATATTCTTCGTCGTAAAACTCAATGGTCATCTCTTGAAGATATGATATCAAAATTTGAAAAACGTTCACCATTTTCACGATGGCCAAAAGATATTCTACGTGATTATTGTACTTATGCAATTGATGAAGATTATAAACTTAGATG